GAAAATGCAAGTTTGCCCCATCCTAGTAACATTTTCTTTAAACACTGTCTTCTGAGTCTGTTCCTTCAGCTATGTGCTGGCTTAATCGTATCAGATACTGTACTAGGAATGTGTATGAAGATTCACATCCTTTGCACCCATGGACTTCCCAATATGACTACTCTAAGTAGGCTAACCTCTCATCTGGGCAGGTGAATGCAGTCTCTAACTGGCCTGAATAACATGAAGATAAATTTTAAAATCAAATAAGAAATATTTACTTTTGGAAAAAAAAAGAACAATACTCTTCTTCTAACCTTCAGCCTTTCTTCCATGATTCCTCTACTTGTTGCTTTGGCTGGAACCAAGTAATCTCTTATTGAAATACTCTGAACAAAATTTGTACTGTGTGATTTTGTGACTGTATCACAATTTACTACAAACAACGATATATCCCATTACCTTTTCTCATTTTATATACTGTCTGCTGCTTCTTACAGTAAACAAGTTTGTTTTAGTAAGAGTTTTGTCTGTATCTATTAATTTAAGCCATGATTAGTAAAGAAAACTCAGAATATTGACTCAGAACATTGATTATGAAGACCAATGTGGCCTTTTGCCTTAGCGCTATTCTCTCTGTTTCTTTTCTAGGCTTAAAGAACCTTAAGTGGCAACTGAGAAGAAATAATCCTTGCTAATATTAGTAAACATACTTTCTGCATATAGGAGAATCCATTATTAAAGGAAGAATCAAATATCTTCATGTTGGAATGTCCAGAGGTCTTTCTTTGATCTTGGAAACATGATACTAGATTAATTAGACACTAGTTTGATCAAGAAAATAATCTGTGTAATTAAAGCACACTTGTCACTGGTGAATATTTTTGAAGGGAATTGGGACCTAGATTTACCCAGAACAAACAGTATATGAACAAATGTACTTTATTTTAAAGACCGATAAACTATTTGTATAATTTATAAACCATTTACAGACTTTAATATCTTAAAGTACATCTCAAAATAACAAAGGTATTTACATTGGTGTACACAGAGACTATTCTGGTTTATTTTACATTTCAAAATTACATGAACCTTAACACCCTGTATTCTACCAAGCCGTACTACACAAAGTGTGTACATTGGCTGAAATTGGCCTGGAAACTATGAATAAGTTACTTACATAAACACATAGGCAGGAACAGTATCTGCACAGCACAGTATGCAAGGAAGAATACTTTCTCCAAGACAACTCTGAAAATGTAAGCAAAGGCTCTGTCAAAACTTTTATTTACTCCAATGTGTTATAATGTATAGTTTTTCACACTCTATCCATGAGATTTTAAATTAGTTCAGATGAGTTTTCCCTGTTTATATTGACAATGTACAATTTACAAAGAATTACTTTACAACCGTCAAAACTATTTTTGCTGCTGGAACATAAGTCAGTCAATTCTGATTAACAAACTTGCTTGAAAAAAAAGGCTTTACTGTGCAGTGACTTCAAAGGTCTCTGAATGCTGTGCTATGGTATTTCTTTAGTGAATACACACTTTTATTCAAGTATTGCAAAAATGCTAAGGCCACGGTTTTTTTTGAAGATCATGCATTTGTCCTCCTCCTCCCCCTTGCCAAACAGGCCATAAAACCTTGCTGTTAAATTTTCTGAAATACTGGAGCACTGAAAAGGCGACAGGTTACAATCCATGGAACCACTTTCCTATTCAAGCCTCCCTTTGAAGTAAATGGTGATTATACAACAGCACATAAAATAGTCTTCTTGATGATGGTTTTACATTTAAATTGAGCTTCAATATGACATCTTGAGGATTTTATCTTAAATCTATAGATCAGGTTGTTGTTCTTTATATTTGCATACATTTTGAGGTATGCAATTTTCCTCAAAAAAAATCATTTAATACAGAATAAAACAGCACTCACAAGTCCATATTTTCTAGCTGTGCTATATATATACTATTGTCAGCGTTTTTCTCCAAAGTGAATTCTGATGTCTGGGCATAATATAATTTAATATATTCAGGATATATTCTCCAAGACAATTAGTGATTCTTTGTCATAATTAACTCCTCTATGCTGCTTAAGTCCATTCTGAACTCTGATGGAAAAAGGACAAGCTTCTAAAGGATTCATTGGGCACTGTGCTAAATTTCACTTTACACTAAATTACATTTAGTATACACAATGATCATGCCTGTATTTGCATGGGAATAAAAAAAATGGGAAATGATACTCGGGTATATGAATACATGAATCTGCGGGTGACAACAGCATGTATTACATATTTATACACACATAGGTTTTCTGAAAGTGAGCTGGAGGTATTATAGCAAATCCTAAAAAATATTTTCAGGTGTGTTTTCCAGAGTAGCTACATGGCCCTCCAATCTCACTTGCAGGAATAATTAAGCACTGTAGAAAACTATAATAGTAAGTAGGTTGTTTCTGCAAGATGGTACAAAGGTTGAATCTGGTAGCCATAATCACTGAAATCAACAGGTATTTGAGTGCAAGTCTCCAGCCCTTTTTTTATGATAAGAGAACCTCAGTATAACCTCTCCCTAGCAGGGGAAAAAAAAACAAAGAAACATCAATATTTGTGGTCATCTGAATGGAGGCAGCAGAAACGGGATTTGGGGAAGAACGCATCCTTAATATGTCAGTGCAATGAGCAAAAGAGGGTTGCCCAGAACATCTATTTAAGGCAAGTAGTTATTCACTCTTTCCCCTCTTACTCAGTTTCTCATTTTGCAGACACCCTCTTCACCCAGTCTATTCAACTGCAAGATGTGATTAGGTAATTGCATTTGAGCCAAAAGGGAATTTCCTTCTCAAGAATCCCAGTGTTGACAGCCCTTAAAGGCCTACACCATACCAGCCAGATACCATACTAGAAATTGCACAACTTTGGTAACATGAAGTTTAGCTGTTAGATTGATTTAGCTGAAATTTAGTTGGATGTATGATATCAGTAGTGATCAGTCAGAAGTATCTTTAAAGATAAAATGAATTCCCAGAACTTGCCACATACAATTGTGGGACAGAAGAAAAATGCCATACAAGGCCTGAATGGATTGCTCTTTCTGGTATACATGGAGCTGATGAGGCAATATTGAAGACCATTCCTTAACAGCCAAAGTTGTTGCTAGACTGTTCCTGGATTCATCCTCAAGTAGTTGTTGCCTTGCAAAAAAAATGCTATAATAGCCACAGTTCTCTGAGTTTAAATCTGCACCATATGTTGGCCCTGTTTCTCTAGATTTGGTTGCAGTGAAACATTTGCACCACTATGGATCACAGCAATAACTCTGAGATAAGCAATATATCACCTTTAATCACTTTGGGCATGTCAATATTCTGCTACCAATTTGGCTGGTGACTTCCCCAATCCTCTTTGCTTGGATATTCCCTAGATTCTCATAATTTAGTTATATGTGTAGGGAAAAAGACATGGATGATCCCAAAATGGCAAAACCTAAAACTGTTAGAAAATGGCCTCATTTGTTCCAAAACAGAGGAAAAAAAACAGCAACTTTGCTTAGATATTAAATATGCATTTAAAACATTCTTGAGGTTCAGTATGAAAAGTACTTAACTCATAGCAGCTTGCTCCACCAGATTTGTTTAAAGTTGGCATTTACATACTAGTCTATGTGCTAGTACATAAAGTCTATGTGCTAGTTATTCTGTCTTTTGTTCCTTTAGCCCATTTAGGTATAATTAATCACCCAAGTTTGCAAATGTGATTCTATCAATCTACCTATGAGCATTTCTGATTGTATGCCAATAACTATTTTTTGTATACTTTCTGGTTAAAAGGAGCTATCTTGGTTGTGTGTTACTGTGCAAACAGCAAATAAATCAAAAAAAGTTTCAAAAGACAGTACTGGCAGACATATACTAACTGGAAGACCAAGAAACTAAAGATGAAAGGAAAAAGGGCATAAATAGGTGCATAAAGTCTTTGGAATGCCTCCTCCTATGCTTTGGAATGCTGTCTCTGCTGGGATAGATTAACAGATTTTGAATCCACTCTGATTCAATGTTTCCTCAAGTAATCCAGATTTCAAATTAAGGCATCAGTAGTCAAGCCTAGATTATTTTGTGTTCCCTGGAGAAAACTGTGGGGGTGGGGGAGGAGGAATGGAGGCAGTATGAGCCACACTGTGTTTGACAGTGGCCTATTCTAACAGTCATGTAAATCTTGGCAAAAGGGCTTTTGATATCCTATTTCCCTTTCCAAGTACATTAGTTTGATGTAACATGTGCCTCTTCACAATCCGTTTCTACCCCATAATAGAAAAAACCCATCATTTGGATCTTTGTAGATTCTCGCCTCTGATGCATTTCTTGCACATAGTATGATACCTCATTTTTATGAGACAGATGCATTCCTAATGTATAGATGTTCTGACGTTTTAAATCCCGTAACAGTGCATTCATAGAGCACTCAACAATTATTTTTTATGAGTTATAAAATAAGTTATAAGAAATGTCACAAGCATAAAAAAATCAGGTCCAGAGTCAAGCACTGAGTATCACTCTCTTTGGTACATACACTCCTAACCCTAGCTAGTTCAAGTAATGGTTTCACCAGTATATTACAGTAAGGTGGTAAGCAAGGGAGGAATCAAAGGGATCAATGGCCCACATTATGTAAGCATTTTTTCCTATCTCTCACATATTAAAATCCTGAGAGAATCCTGAGTACCATTTACTTAGGAGCAGCTGGTGGTTTACTGAGGAAAAACAAATATAGTGGAAAAGTAGAAAAAGTATCCTAGATTAATCATTTAAGAAATGGAAATAAAAACTTAGCTGAAAAAAGGGAGCATGACTCCTCAGATCTGCATGCATTAATCCAATGACAGATCCATAATGAGACAAAAAGATTAAAATTACATAAGAGCGAGGAATAGATACTTGATTGGACTGACATACGTATACACTGTTAAGTCAGAAAACAGAGTTATAAATTACATATAAAACAAAGTAGAGCAGTTATTAAAATGAAGAATGTTTACTAATAATTTGAGTTTCCATTGTTGGGTATTTGGTGCTCCATCCCAACCATTTAAAAACTGCCAATATTGAAAGAACAAGTGCCAAGTATTATTGTACATACTGAATTGGCAAAAGCATGTTGGGGAAGGGGGAGCCTTTTTGGAACAAATCCAGTGTAGGAGATCCAAAGGCAGCACAGGAAGAGGAGACGTTGTGTCACTTCTTAGCCAATCTCAAGATCATACTGTACTCCGGGAAAATCATTTTGAAAAAAAATATATGGTTTGATGTTAGACAAGCAACAATTTCTGTTTTTCAGTGATCTGATTGAGGAGATCAATAGTCTCTCTAATTAAGGCCTCAAAAATGCCATCTGCTAGTTGCATTTTCACATACAACTCATCTTCATCATAGTTCACCCATTGAGCCTCTTCTTCATGCAATTCTTGAACCTTAGAATTAGAAAGGGGAGAGAGAAAAGTCACCACTATTAATATACTACTCTGTAAACATATATAATAAAAAATATTATTGTAAATCTATATAACCATCATTATATAAAAGCTACAGGGATCCTTTAGTTTTTCAATGACTCACAGGAAAGAAAAGAAAATGAATAATAATTCCTAGATATAATACTGTTAAAACAAAAATATAAAAATAGGACTTTATCACTATTTATGAGGTCACTAAGAGTCAACGTTAACTTGCTGGCAATCAATCAACCAACCAACCAACCAACCAAACAATCACCATCACTTACTAATGCCTCTAGCCACTCCAGTAAGCCAGGCTTTGGTGTGATTCATATTCCACTGAAATGTTACCTCTGAAGTGTTAGTATCTTTAAGCCTATGCATGTTCTGCAACAGTGTCGGCGTTATTAAATAGTTCCATATCCAATTAAGGTTATGGAGTAAAAATTTCCCTATGCTCAAGGTATTTCTAAAAGTAGCCAATTTGCTATAAAATATTCTTGAAAAAAGTTTTATCTAGCTTTAGATGGTTTTATATATAGACATACTGTGTACATCTATCACTCAATTCACTTATGGGTAAGTAATGTTATACAGAGTGCAGAAAAGGAATAAAAAACAGGAATTAAAGGAATTAAAGGCATGAGATACAAAAAAGGAAAGCTATTAAAGCTCATTTATATCAACACCATTCACTATCTCTCCAAACCTTCCTTGTTTCTACTATGTCTGTATACTGCCTTTTATTCTTTAAACTTTTTGCCTCTGTTTTTCAGGAACTCATCAACTCCAGGCAACCATTAGTTTCTCACTCCTCTCCTCTCAGCTCATTAATTTTTCCTTCATATATTTATTTTGCAATTTGATTTTTATTCTCAATATACTGGTCACTCATTTTTGTTTTCAGTCTACACTTCCCGGACAGCTATACATTTTTAACCTTATATCTTGCTTTTGTCATGCATATTTAAATACCCAATTCCTAAGAAATTAAATATACTTTTGCCTTTTTTATTTAGTCAACTCTTATTTTCATTTTAGAAAGTGATTAGAAGCACTTTTCCACTGACATTTATTCTTCACAATAAATACTACTCATTACTTTTCTACCAGCAGTTGCACATCTTGAACTTTCTCCATCAATTTTCCCATCTGTAAAACATTTTCCGAACAAACATGCCTTCATCTCTTTGCACTATTTTTTTTGCCATTTATGTATAATTTGCAATCATTCACTCAAATCATATTCCTTGTTTCATCTGCTAAAAATCATTTGGGTTCTCAACCAACAACAAGGCATCATTTTCCCCCCAGAAGAATACATATACTTAGGTTATCAAACAACATGTCTCTTACATCACAAGCATATTTCTGTATCTATAAATACATTAAACAATCAAACAGTCTTGTCTTATTCCTTGCTCAGTGTTGAATTGTTAACTAAGCCTTCCATTTATTTTCCCACATTTTACCGCTATCATATTCTGCTTTTACCACATCCAGCAACAACCTTTTAATTGGACATACGTATAAAACATAATTCAAATCTTTTCACATTGTTGCATGTTTTCTTTAAATCAGCACACATACAATAAAGCTTTTTCATATTAATTATTTCTTTTTTTTTTTTTTGATGTGCTAAAATCTGGTTGGCATATCTACTGCCTGACATAAAACCAGGATAATTTAAATAGTTAAACATTAAAGAGAGTTTGGCAAACATGACAAGCCTCTCTACAACTGTGAAATTGTAGAGGTGACTACAGTTCTTGGATCTTTAAAGTTGCATGACAATTCTTTTAAAAATATATTTTTGTGCTGCTTTTTATATAAATACCTCAAGGCAGCAAACATAACTAATCCTCCTGCTCCCTATTTTCCCCATAGCAACAATCCTGTGAGGTGGGCTGGGCTGAGACAGAGAGAGAGCAACTGGTCCATGCCTAAGGCAGTCCTAGAACTCACAATCTCCTGCTTCCTAGGCTAGCACCTTTAGCCCTTCATGGCACAAGTTCTAGGACAGTGGTTCTCAACCTTTTTAATGCCGCGACCCCCAACCGGTCGTAAGTCGAGGACTAAACCGGTCGTAAGTCGAGGACTAAACCGGTCGTAAGTCGAGGACTAAACCGGTCGTAAGTCGAGGACTACCCAACCGGTCGTAAGTCGAGGACTTTCCCTGCCCGGGAGCGCCGCGCATGCGTGGTTCCGCCCCCTGCGCCGCCCAAGGCGTAGCTGGCAAGCGGCAGAGACGGAGCAGGCCGACCACCAGCTGGCCCAGCTCAAGGGAGGTAAGGCACCCGCCGGAAAAGGGGAAAAAAAATGGCGGACAGCCTTGCTTGGCGACCCCCATGAAATGGTCGATCGACCCCAAATGGGGTTGCGACCCATAGGTTGAGAACCGCTGTTCTAGGAGCTGTAGTTTTGAAGGCATGGAAGCTGGCTGGGTGACTTAGGACCAGTTGCTCTCTCATTTTTAATCATTCCTGTTTGGATAAGGACTGATGGATACTTTGGGGCTTGCTATCTACCAAAGGTACTGTCAATGCTTCCATCAAACATCATCTGCAACCAGTATGTTTCCCATCTTTCTTTCCCACAAGAGAGAAACAAAAGAAAAGGCTTTTTTTCCTGATTGTTTCAATCAAAGCAACTTGTCTTCATCAAATCAGAAGAAATGAGAAAGCAGTATGTTTTGTCTGATCTAGCCAAACCGCCATGTTCTATAAAGCCTCATTCCATTACATACATTAAATTTTTAAAGAAATCCAGTGTGCAGATACTATTAAATGTCTTTCATTTTTGACTCTCTGACACAAGGGATTTCATTCTTATGTTACATGATGAGATTGTATTCTTTTGTATTTTTTTTTTACCTTGATTTACGGACAGGAAATTGCACAGTGAGTTTGGTTCTGATTGAAGTGGTCTATATACCCTTGTAAATAATAATAATACAAATCTGCTTAAATATATATATTTAATATATTCTACTAAAAGATCTAAATTTGGAAATGCCTAATTTTAGTTGACATTTACCCATAGTTTATATCAGGGGTGTCAAACTCAATTTCATTGAGGGCCGCATCAGCATTGTGGTTGCCATTGGGGGGCCGGGTGGGTATGGCTGGCATGGGCGTGGCCATGTCACTCACGTAAGGGGCACCTGTGCGGGCCTGGGCAGGGCTGGGGCACATCCGAGGTGGGGAAGGGTGGGTGGGACAGGGGGCGAGCACCAGGGCCTGGTCCACTGGAGGAGCCTCACTGAGCCTCAGGCTGTGCACGGGGCCCCTAGACAGTGGCATGGACTGCCCAGAGCCCTGGGCAGCGGAGGTCAAGCACCCAGCCCGGCCCTTGAGCTCCCACGGCACCAGGACCCCACAGTCCTGCCTAGCCTAGCCGCACTTCCCCGAGGGGGCGTCCAGCAGCACTTACCTCCTCCTCAATGCTGCTGCTGCTGTGCTCACTCTCCTTGGCCAGGTTGCTCATGGTGGGTGCAGGAGGACAAAGTGCGTGGGTCAGAGGGAGGCCAACGCCCTCTCCATGCGAGGAAACCTGGCTTTTGTAACCAAAGCATCCTCAGCAATAGGATGGGAGACCACCAGGGGAAGGCAAAGGGGCAACAGGGCTGCTGGTGGCCAAGTGCTAAAGCAGGACTTCCCTCAGACCCTCCCTCCTTCCCTCTTATTCCAATCTCCTTCCTTCCTTCCTTCCTTCCTTCCTTCCTTCCTTCCTCCCTCCCTCCCCTTCTTCCCTGCCTCCCTCCTTTTCATTCCCATCTCCTTCCTTCCTTCCCTTACTTTCTTCCTGTTTCCCTCCCCTCCTTCCTCCCCTCCTTCTCTCTGTGCCCAGGAAGGGACGAGGGGAGGGGGAGAGGTTGGCAGCACTTCTCTCAAAGAATAAGAGTTGGAAGAGACCTTTGAGGTCTTTAGTCCAAGCTCCTGCTCAAGCAGGGGACGTATACCATTCCAGACAATGGAATATCTAATCTCTACTTAAAAGCCTCCAGTGATGGAGCATCCACAACTTCTGAAGGCAAGCCTTTTCACTGGTTATTTGTTTTCACAAGTCTTTAGTTCTAGGCTGGTTTTCTTCTTGATTAGTTTCCATCTATTATTTGCCTTCTGATGCTTTGGAAAATAGGTTGACCCTTTCTTCTCTGTGGCAGCCCATCAAATATTGGAACACTGCTATCATGTCACCACTCCTAGTCCTTTTCACTAAGCTAGACATACCCAATTCCCAGAAACATTTGTCATATGTTTTAGCCTCCAGCCCCCTAATCATCTATGTTTACCATCCATTTAGACCAGATGGTCCCCCTGGTTTGGTTTATAGAACAGTGGCCAAAAGCAGAGCCTTCTCAGAGACAGCACCCCAATTATAGAACTTTATCCCAAGGAAAATATGAACAGTGCATCCCTCACCCGTTTAGAGGCAATTCCAAACACACTGTTCAGCCAGGCATATGTAAAACAACAACACATTTTATGGTCAAACAACATTAAGTAAATTACTACTACTATTTTTCTTTCTTAAAATACACACTTTTAATATTGTTTTAAGCAGTGCTGTCTTTGAGAATTTTCTTGTAAACCACCCTGGATTTCTCAGAAACGTTTAATTTCAAATTAGATGTTGATTTAATAAATTAGGCAGAAGAAACAAATGTTTAAATACATCTAAATCCCACAGACCTACTGCCTCCTAGGCGCATCCTGCAGAGAAAATAAGGCATTGCATTTCTAGCCAACATAGCCACAGGATGATGGGAACTGTGGTTCATGACACCCAAAATATATTAGTTTGGGTAAGGATGGATGAAGGGAAGTATTTTTGTCTCCGACAAAATAATGGGGGGGAGGGGGGAGTTGACTCGGCCTTTTAATTTCAACTCATACCAATTCCTAACTTCCCATTCAATCCAAAGAGTTTTATTATTGCCTGGATTTTAGGCAGGGGAGGAGGCAAGAATAGACCACAAAGCTAATCTGCAAGTTTGCTCTCTCGCCTACTTTCCCGTGTATGTGTGTATGTATATGAGAGACAGAGCGATATCTTTCTCTCTCTCTCTCTCTCTCTCTCTCTCTCTCTCTCTCTCTCTCTCTCTCTCTCTCACACACACACACACACACACACACACACACACAGACACCTTCCTGTTTTCTCCTCGTCGTCCTTTTCCTCAGCTGCACCTGAACGGAGTGGGAGGAAGTTAAAAAAAAGAGAGAAGGGGTGGAAGAATGGGGAAAGCTCTCCTTTTTTGTAACACCTCAGCTTCCTCTGCTTCCTCCTCTTCCACTCCTGGCTCTCTCTCTCCGTCTCTCTGTTTCTGTCTCTCTCCCTCACATACACACACACACACACATACACAGAAACCCTTCCTGCTTTCTCTTCCTTCTCACCCTTTCTGGACTGGCAAAGAAAACAGAGCCACACGAGGAGAAGCCCAGCAAAGTGGAGCATGGCCGGGCGTGACGGGGTTAAGTTGGGAGGGGAGGGGTGGGCTAAGGCAAATGAGCTGCTGCTGCACACCACCAGCCCCTGAGTGATTGCTGTTTCCTGCATGTGCTCTAAGGCACCCAGCTGGGTTGCGGTGGGCCAGGGCTGGTGGGCCAGGGCTGGGGCAGGTCCCTTGCCATTTCTGGGACAGCCCCGGGGGGCCAAATCTGGGCCCTCCCCGGACCGCATCCGGCCCGCGGGCCTTGTGTTTGACATGTCTGGTTTATATGGATGAGTGCATATAAGGAAAAATATGGGTTGCCCAATAGTGGAATGGAGTTCTCCCCATATCTACAATCCTTCTGCTTAGGAGGGCTGAAAGCAAATCTGGGAGAGAAGAACAAGCTAATATGTAAGCAACAGTAGATCTAACCCATTTTTTCAAACCATGCAGGTTGCTAGGTATTTATGCCTGACTACAATGCATAATTGAAAAAATAATTACTAACCAATATGTGATCCACTCTATCCTTTTTTTTTCGTCCAAATTTCATCATTTTCTGCCAGTCTGTTTTATTATTTGATTCCTTTCTCAAATTTAAGAGCTTTAGAACTTCAGTTGTTATAAACACCTTGGATAAAGGAGAAATAAAAGAATAATGAATGCTAACTAAATACATTCTCTCTAGTTGCAACATCATCTCTACAAGTAGCTTTCAGGGAGAAGATTTCTAGTGAGGACATAAACATGGCACATATGCAACTGAAAACACATTGTATTGCTAGGCAACTACAACTACAGTAAAGCAACCTGGTAGCTAACACTAGAAATATCCATGAAATTCATTAGAATTATGACACTGATTCAACTCTTGTACATTCCAGAATATGGATAAATGCAGCATCAGGTACTTTTTGGAACTATCCCCACCCCCAGACCCATTAATCCAGGGATAGCTATCATTACTTGCTGTATTGGAAGAATTTTAATTCATTATATACTGGTTACCATTCATTGTATTTTTTTAAAAAAAATATTACATGTTAGATGTAGGCCATCTTGGATGGATTTGTAACTGGAACCGTGTTAAATATTAGTGACAATTACAGCCTTTATTAGTTTTAAGAAATAGAAGCATCACCCATATCCTATTTCAAACTAATACTTAAGTGAAATCAGCAGTAAGAAGAAACTATAGTAGAAAAATGAGAGATAGTATCATATGCACACTCATCTTGGAATATGACTAATGGTGTAAGAAAATTAGTTTTCAAATAAAAATGCATAATAAAACCCCACCAGACTTCACATTCTACCTTAAGTTCTAGATCAGTAGTTGTCAGTGTGGTCTAGGGACTCCTGGGAGTGCCCAAGAACCTTTCAGAGGGTCCATGAAGACAAATGAAGCTTTTAAAATTTCTCAATCTTAAACCTTAATACAGTAAATGTCAATAAATATAACCCATGTAAACCAAAGCTCTTTGGGGTCCTCAATAATTTTTAAGAATTTAAAGACGTCCTGAGACCAAAACATCTGAGAATAGCTATCTAGGTGAACTGTACTTTATTTCTATAAATATATTTAAAGTTCAAGCTATTAATCTTATTCCTACTTTTATTTCTTCAAGATCACTTGGATCTTTTACTCGTCGAAAGTATCCAGAAATTATTCTGCTGGGTTTCATCCATAACGGCTGATTCAAATTTGGATCTTCTGCAAAGATTTCTTCAAAAATCTCTCTTGTTAAATCAAACACAGCCTTGATAAAAAATAAAAGAAACATTATATTACCATTATATATTCTTATAATACTATATCATTTTTCAAAGAACCAAACAAAAATATTTATGAAAGTATTTATGCTGAATACTAGCTATGCAGCAAGTGGAATGCAATTTTGTTTCACTATTGCATTCTTTGGGCCAATAGTTTTTAACCCTTTTGAAAAATGCTTCCATACCCTCCTTTCTCTTTCACACTTCATTGTATCTGTCTTCCACAAGCACACCATACCTTGTTTTATATTGCATTCTATCACTAATCATGCCAGAGTCCAAAATAGCATTCCTTCTTTAAAAAAAAAGATTTGGTACATTTCCTTTATTTTCATACATTTCACTATAATCTGAGATAACTGCCATACCTGTTTGTAGATTTCTTTACTAACGGTTTCAATGTCATCATTTTGGGGGGATTCATTCATGTCTCTGGGGTTGCTGAGGGCCTGAAGATCATGCCCCAACTCTTTGCATTTCCATAGCTTCTCAGCTGCTGCATGCACCAATTCCTCCACCTCTTCTGCTACATATGGCACAGCCAAAGGTTCTTCAAAAGGCTTTGGGGACACTTTTGGCAGTTTTATCTTAGGTAACACTGCTGATTCTTCAGCTTGGTTTTGAGGGAGCGTGTGTGAACTCAGGCCAAAATCCTCATCAAACCAATCTTGGTCATCTCCTAACACATTCAGAAACTCCCGGCTAAGTTCCAGTTCTGCCAGCCTCTTGGCAAGTTCTTCCTGTCCACTCGCACCAAATACAGGACTTTCCTAAACAATAAGAAAGTAATTATTACTTAGAACCTTACATATTCCCTGCCGTATGTTCCTGATTTTGATATGTATTATCCATGAACGCTTTAATGTTTAATGACATATAATCATATTTTTGATTGTTAAGCTCTTTTTTGTTAGAGTGCAAGAAAGTGAGATATAGAGAAAGTCTAATGGCTTTTACCAGGAGACCTCCTGAGGTATGCCCTTGGTAGGTGACCATATAGACCAAGTCACATGTGGAAGCCCCAATTAGATAAATGGAAATGGTACAACAGCAGTAACTCATGAATTGCATCCCTAACAGAGAAACAACAATATTCAAGAATACAATTCTATACCCAGAAAACTAAAACACAGAACATGGAAAAATATATTGACTAGAATTACAATGACCCACATTAAATTCATTATTATCCTACTTTGGAATGGTCATTATCTTCATTGTATTCTTGTGAGGATATAACTAGATGGAAATATAGGAATGGGAGCTCAGTTGTTAGGATCCCAAATTGAAAAAAGTAAAGCAAATATTCTAAACCCAAAGGTCAAACCAAACCTACTATCAAATATCCAATGAAATCTTTGTATTTCATTTTCTCAGAGACTCTTTTTGCTTTTTAATAAATCGCCTCTGAAACACTAGAGTTCCAAAAGCAGTTTGTGGCATGTATAATTTATTGTTTAAAACAGTGAGTTCAATTTCTTGTCATCAGCTTCTTTTACAAAAAATATATAATTGGCCAAAGAAAATTTGTTGATATTTGTACATTGATATGCTTTGTCATCTCCCATATTGTCTCTTGATGGGTTTCTGATACCCCAGAAAGGAGATACTTGCAATATTGGGATCCTTGTAGACTCATGCCTACTGTTATATAGGCAGGTGGAGTCCCTAGCTCAAAGCCTGCCAAACTTCATAACTGAAGCATTATTCTTAGTCTTACTTATCTTAATTATGAACTATACTTACTGGTCTGGGACACATATCTGGGGAAGACACTTCTTCTCCATCATCCAATTCATATACGACTAAAAACCTCTGCTGTTCATTAGCTGCCAACTTCTTTTCTTGGACAGCACCGAGTTCTTGATTGCTAAAATGGATTTTCTCATTCCTTGCCTTTTTGATTTGCTGAAATTGACTGACTGTGTCTTTCACAAAACCTTGCAAGAGACTGTCAGCCAACAAACCAACTCTTTCCTGTCGATCTCGTAGATCTTCCTTTTCTTGGGATGGGACTTTAAGTTGGGCTTCCAGTTGGCTTCTTTCTTTTGTCAACAAGTCCAGAAGTGGCGTTGCAGATTTCTCCAGATTAGTGGGAGAAAATCTGTTTTCTATTTGCTCTTGCCAAATAGACTGCTGCTTCCATTTCTCAGGAAAGCTGCTATCCAAAATCTCTCCTACTTCAATAGCAAAATCTTCTTTGTGGATATTAGAAATGGCAGAAGGTAACATACCATTATCATTTTTAGAGGATTTGGGAGAGTCAAAGCCACCAGTTTCCTGATCAAACTCATCAACAGTATTAATAACTGCCACATAGCCGCTTGATTTATTGAATTTTACATAATCTCCAGCTCCAATTAAGCCTTTTAAGGCAGATGATTCTCTTGGAGATTTCTCATTTGAATTTCTTTTATTCTTTTCTTCTTCAAGACATTCTAAGCCTTTCTGATTTGTTTTGTGTTGATTATCTAGTTCACGATTAAAGAAAGAATTTTCATTTGAATCTAACTCATTACCAAAACTTTCTGGAAAATGAGAGATTTTTTGTGAGGGGGCAAAAATACCATGTTTTTCTTTACAATCAAAATATTGAATACCATTGTAAGAGCCATTATTATTTCCTTCAGGTTCGTCCAGTTCTACACCAGCCCAAAAACCTTTAGCAAAATTTGTCCGACCCTTAAATTTCAGTGTTCCAGGCTGGACATTACTCACAAGAACTCTGTCACCTATGCTGAAACCTAGCAAAATATCTTCTTGTTTTTCTGATGATGCTTTGAAACTGGAAGCCTGAGATGATGAATCATCACTATCATCAGCTGGAACTTTCTCCACATTGCCACATTCTTTATTTTTCACAAATTCTGTTGGTGATTTGAGTTCTAACAATCTTTCAGAATGAATGCTATCAGCTACAGACAAAGAGTTTTCACTGAGACACTCACTTATTTCATCATCACTTCCAAAACTAGGGGATTCACTCCCAGGAGGTCTTGTGTACAAAGACTTCTCTCCCTGTGATCTTGTATCTTGTTTGAAAGATAATGTAGAAGCATAAAAAGTATCTCTCTGATATTCAGTAAGAACTATCTCACTTTTTGATACATCTGTTCTTAAGAAAGACTCTTCAAAATCATTAGAATATGATGGCTCTTCGCAAATGGAAATCTTTTCTGAAATCAGGGAATCACCTTTCAGTGTATCTTTCCCCAGCCTATCAGAGGATTTAACTGATGTAATACTTTCATCAACCTTGAACCTTTTACTTGGCATTTCCTTGATTTCCTGCACACTTATGCATTCCAAGACAAACTGATCCTTTTCCGACAGCTCAGTCTCTGGAGGGACCTCTGTCTTTAAAGAAACTGAATTGTTTTGATTTAAGTCAAAAACTGAGGCATCAGATATTTCAGAAACTTGGGAAGCTATTTCAACCTCTAATTCTTTTGATTCTGCTGTCTCTTGTACTATAGATCTGGTAGCTTGAGGGTCATAACTCACTGCATCTTCAGTCTTATTCAGTGATGTGGGAGATATTTTGCTTGTGTTTCCTAAGTCTTTGAGAATAGCTGACGAGAGTAAACTATCCAAATCATCAGATTCTGCTGTAGATTTTCTTAGGGTTTTAAGGACTGCAGATGCCGTATGAGATTGCTTCTCTGACTGAATCTCTGCTTCTGTGAATTTCATGGTGTTTACAGACACAGATTGTTCGGAAGATGGCACAACATCTTAAGAGAATAAAAAAAATCGAATACATTTACTTAAAACAATTGTGCACTATTTAGCATTATTAAAGAAGTAAAAAAATCTGGGTGTTATAAGAAACTGAAATTCTTACTAGAAAATGCTAACCTGTGCCATCAAATAGCATGAATATTCCATTGTTTACATATAAATGACTAAAGTATAACTCAAATGCAATACCCCAATCAAATTTATAATCAAAATGCTTTAATGCTACTATGCACTGGAATTAACACGAACCACAAAATATATCCGAAGATTATAAAATTGTATAAATGTCCCCAATAAACAAGGTTCTGAGATTTTGATTTTTTCTTCCATGTCTGATACTTTACTAAACTTAAATGTTTATTAAAAGAATTCTGGAATGAAGTGTGAGCAGAGAGACACTTAGTGAACACAAGTAAATTATCTAGTGTTACTTTGAATCTGAATCCCATCTTGTTTCTTTCTAAAAAGCTAACTCCAGTTCAGGAATAGGGCAAACCAAACTCAACAGAGTGTAAAAAGAGATACGTACACTTATTTAACCAAAAATGCCTGGTAGCAAGCATTAGCATTCTTGTTTGAATTTTTTTTTGAAGAAGTATTATAAATAAAATTGAAAATAGAAAATAAAATAATTTTTTAGAATTTATATTGAATATGAAATAATTCAACAGGTTCCTACTTATTGCAATACTATGGAAAAAAGTTCCCATTTTTTTAAAAAAAGTGTTAATTAAAAAATTAATAAAATCTACTAAATTCACGTGCTTGTTTTTCAATTATATTTTTTTAAAACCCCATACTTTTAGTTGAAATTATTTTAACCATATTAGGTATATGAAAATAACTTGTATAATTTTAATATTAAACAAATAACTTCCAAGATACATACCAATATGTTCCGCAATAGATTCCAAAGATCCTCTAGAACGTTCAGAATCAGTGAGTGATTTCCAACTTTTAGATGTTTCAGACCTAAAAAGAATTAACAAAATAAAACAAAGAGAAAGTATAATATAATATAATATAATATAATATAATATAATATAATATAATATAATAATACAATACAATACAATACAATACAATACAATACAATACAATACAATACAATAATATAATATAATAAATATATATAAAAAAATAAAAATACATCTGATATTTAACCCAGAGATTTGAATATTGCAATCCACCCAAAATCCATAGCTAAATTAGGATTTGAGATCAGATTCAAATCTCACTGTTCTAGAACACACAAGTCTATTCAGTAGCCCACAAGGTTTCTAAATTTTAGGTATAGTTGCATGTCTATTACAAAGTATGTCAGGAGAAGGTTGTAATTTCCCCATCTGTTAGCTTTTACTTTTTGTTTAATTGCTAGGGAGTGGGATAATAGTTATATCTGCCACTCCAGAGGAAGGAATGGCATTGGGAACCAGAGATAACAGGATTTTGTTTACAGTTCTTTCTCAATCTGAGATTGGTTACCATATCAGAAAATTAATTAAAGTCCTACAGGTGACTCCTGGGCAGTGAATAGCAAAATATCTGTCAATGAGAATGTGGTCCTGGCATTCTCCTCAAGGAACCTGGAGCCATGCCATGAAGGGCTTTAAAGGTGATCACCAACATCTTGAATTGCACCCGGAAGCAGACCAGCAGCCAATGCAGCTCGCGGAGCAATGTTGTCCCAGAGGCCATTCTTGGGGCCCCCAAACTGCCTATGCTGCTTCAATCTGCACCATCTGTAGCCTCTGGATGCTCTTCAAGGGTAGCGTCATGTAGAGCGTATGGCAATACTCCGACCATGAGATGAAAGATAATGATCTATACTTGTCAGATTCTCATACAATAATACCTGGCATTACCCTCTTAAATAAATTGGTGGCAGCCTCTGCAGTAACCTGCAGTGATATCAAAATAGTGACAGACAATGGTAACATTATCATATAGATATTGCTTTTATGTAGTTGCATCTCAGTATCTAACACAAGTCATTTTTTTTAGCATGGGTTTTGGGCATGACTTTATGCTTTTGAGTACTACAGTTTAGTACATGATTTTGTTCATTAAACTGCAGTGTTAAAATATTCATTTTCATACATTTTCTTTATAGTAATGAATAAGTATTAAGTATTATTAACAACAATAATTTAATTAAAACCACTATTAATTTATAATAACTTATAATACTTATATTTCCTCTTTATACAAACATTATATACCAAAAAATTACTTGGTCAGACTCTCTTTAACAAGAATTCATCCAAGTATTTCTTTTGACCAGTCTCTCTTAAATATACATGCATATAAGATAGCTTTCTCCCTTTGAAAGTGATGCAAACCCTTTCTAGGCTATTAAAGATGTACACTTAGAAAGGCCACCATGCAATATTAACTTTAAGCAGTTTACCTATGGAGTGGTGGGGGTTTGATCTTTGGTTTCTCAGTAGCTGTGGATGGAGTTTTGATTTGAGGTTTAGCTGTTGGGGTTGTCTCCAAATCCCGATTCAATTCTTCTTCTGTTTTCTTGATGAATTCATCATAAGTCTGATGATGTAAAAAATAAGATATTAGGAAGATCTGAACATTATCTTATTCTTTATTAAATTTGTTTTCAAGTATTAAACTTGCTGAATATTGAAATTTGGAATTGTGTGCGTGTAAGTACGTAAATTATATAATTTAATCTATGAAGATATTTGTATTTTCTTTTTCTTTTTGGTCAATATTATTATATTCCCATCAGTATCAAAGCAAAAGGAAAAAAATATTCAGAGAAAATAAGGCAAAAGAAACATAGGAATATCAATATGTAACAGATACACAATTTCTATTTTAGCATTTCTTTCAAATTCTTACCTCTAACTGCTTGATCAAACTTGCCTCTTGAGCCTTAAGTTTCTCTTTGAGCCTCTTCTTCTGTTCTTTTTTCAACCTATAAACAACAGATTTTTTTTTCCGTACTTCATCTTTCAGAGCCCAGATTCGGCTTTCAATGTCACTTTGATCAGATGTAGTTTCTAAAAAAAATAAAACATATTATTTAGAAAATAATATTTTATGTTGATAAGGGGTCTTGCCTTTTTCATTTCCAAAATTGAAGACTGGTGGAAAATTGCCAATATGTTACATTTAATGCTGTAATTACATGGCATTCAAACCCCATCAATTCCAATGGAAAACCGAGACTCATTAAAAAATAATTTAAAAATTATAAAAAAGGAAGTTGAAGCTCTAATACTTACCTGATTGTGTCATGGATAAAGACTCATCAGACCAACTACATGAGATATCCTGAGATTTTGTAGATGACAGTTGTTTACCTCCAGACTTCTGTGTTTGTTTGTTTGATTCTTGCTTTGATAGAGATCCACTGCTTTTGCAAGGAGACTATGTCAAGATGAAAAAGAATAAATAAGGAATATATATTACACACACATAAACACACCCCTCACACTAATTACAAGCATGGAAATAGAAATGTTTCACTTATTTGGAATCCTGTCTCTCTTAAGCAGGAGAGGCCAGCTAGTTAGGGAAATCTTGCTACTGGACAAAAAATGGCAAGGCCTCTGATGCCCTCTCAGATACCAAGCAAAGATTTCAAACAGATGCTTGCCTATGATATGTACTGCTAAAAGGAGAGACTTTCTGGATTTCTGGTTTTTCAAGATATCAGTTTAATCCTATTACTGTACGTCTAGGACCTGACATATGTCTGTGTTCTTTCTTTCTTTCTTTCTTTTAAAGGTTGTACAGAATGACAAGAATCATTCCTGGAGAATCTTTTGTAAGGTTGGAAGCTGAAGTAGGTAATATATATCTGATATTTTCCATATTCTAATCATATGCTTGCAGCTCTGAAGTGGAAAGAATTTCTCCTCTAGAACTGTTCCAAAATCAAAGTTATGGTCCCTTTTCTCCAGTACTCTTTTGATCGGGGGCACAATGGCTCAGCAGTTAAAGATGCTGAGCTTGTCAGTTGGAGCTGACAGCCCCGGTTAGAGACCCAAGCACCTTGCAATGGGGTGAGCTCCCGTACCTTACCCAGCTCCTACCCACCTAGCAGTTTGAAAGCATGCAAATACGATTAGATTAATAGGTACCACTTTTGTGGGAAGGGTAAGAGTGTTCTGTGCACCTCTGACATATAGCCATGCTGACCACATGAACACAGAAAATGTCTTTGGATAATGCTGGCTCCCTCGGCCAAGAAACAGAGATAAGCACTGCACTTTAGAGTCGGACACGACCAGACAGGGAAACTTTTCCCTTTCCCTTTGATCTGAAAAGGACCTTGACTACATGATACATTCATTTAGTGACTGTTCAAAGATACAATAGGACTGGAAAAAGTGACTTATGACCGCTGCAGCATCTCCATGGACAAGTGATCAAAATTTATGTTTTGGCAGGTATTTATGACAGATTCTCTGTCCCAGGATCATGTCATTACCATCTGTAATCATTCCAGATGGCTTCTGACAAGCAAAGTCTATGGGGGATTATATACCATTCCATAGTGTTTTAAAGTACTTTCTGAGTGGTTTACAAATGTCAGCACATGGCCCCCAATAATCTGGATCTTCATTTTACTGATCTCGGAAGAATGGAAGGCTGAATCAACCTTGAGCCGCTCAGGATTGAGTTCCTGGCAGTGGGCAGAGTCAGCCTGCAATACTGCATTCTAACCACTGCACCAGATATATTAACCCTATTTTACTAAAAAGAAAAAAAGGAAAGGGGGAAAAAAGGGAAAGAAAACTTTCCGAAATATAAAAAAAAGTGCTAAAAGCTAGCTTTTCAGAGATGTTATTACGGGTAGTTCTCAACTAACAACTATTTGTTTGACCATGTTAAAAAAGTGACTTATGACCTGTCCTTACAACCAGTTGCAGCATCTCTATTGCCACTTGTTCATGATTTGAGCGTTTGACGACTGACATGTATTTACAACAGTTTTAGTGTGGTCACCATTTACAACCTTCACAGGCAAAGTCAATGGGGGAACCCAGATTCATTTAGTGTGTATGATTTGCTTAATCACTTGGCATTGTGACTCATTTAACAGCACTGTCGCTTAATGTTGGAAATTCTGGTGCCGAGTTTGGCCATAAGACAAAGACCATCTCTATGTCACTTCAACAGGGTTTTAGAGGCTGAAAAAATAGTTTAGTGTGATCCCACCCACAAAATGTTGCCTATTCCTGCTAGTGACAAAAGTCACCACCTTTTCACCCTTTTAGTCAGGTTTGGTATTGTATAAAAAAATCACTTCATCTCCTTTATCCATCCAGTCTTTAAATAACACAGATTATGTCCCCATGGTATTTGGAGATTAGGACCTTTCCTAATCAACAATTCAACAGAGAAAACTACAGTTTAGCCCTCATTCAGTGAAGCTAAGTAAACTAGAAAAAGTGTGAATTGTGAGTGCATCTCTTCCACCTTTTAATAGTATTTTTTTTTTACATTTTTAACAAAATTAGCATGTTGTATTACAATAAATACACCTTGGACATTACTTTTATATTGTGTGTTCTAGAAGTAGCTGGAATTAAGAGTGAATGCTTTTTTTCTTTTTTTTAAAGAAAGTGTATGTTCAGACATTTTATCTGACTTATTTACTAATGTTAATATAATATTTAAATTAAGCCTTTAATTTAATTTCAAAGAATGGCAAATGGATCCTCAAATTCACTTACCGGTTTTCCAGGAGAAACAGCAGATTCCAGTTCTTGTGTATAAACTATTTCTTCAGTTAGTGTGTGATCTAGGCTTCCAGGCTTGCCTTGAATCTCAGAAACCTTTGATGGAGCCGACTCAACAACTAGATTGCTCAATTCTGGGATCGAGCTTTCGCTATTTAGACGAGAACAAGGTGGCATTGAAGAGTCTTCTTCACTGGCTGTCTCTGAGAGAAAAAAAAATGGAAAAGGATCAATTCCTCAAAAATTCCCAGTACTTCACTGACAGGCTCTTAAAAATATTTTGATGCATGCTTACAGTCATACTAAAAATTAAATACACCCCACTGAAGTTTTTGGCTTTTTAAATATATTTCAACATACAGTATTTTTTTATAATATTTTATTAGTTTTCTAATTTTACAACTAAGTATTTAAAAAGCAATGTGGTGACTGGGTTAATCAATAGTTCAATAACATACATAAATCTTTAGTATAAATCTCAAGTTACAACATCAGATATTTCCTATCTTTTTCCCTTAATATCTACTTTCTCATATTAGGCTAATACAGTTATTATTAACTAAGTAAAAACATATTTGTTACATTTATCAATAATTTTTAGCTTATACATATCTTAATTGGGTTTGCATTCAATCCTTAAATACAATCAATGTCCTGTTATTGCTTTTTTCCCAAGCTTTCCCATCAATATTCAAATTAACATTTAGTATTTATAATTTCTAAGCTTTAGGTAACCAAAGTTTCCTTTATCTCAACTTCTTCCTTTTTCCCTTTTCATAACAAGATCTAATATTCCAAGTACACATCTTATCTATTTGACTATAGTCTTGTTCTGTTTTCTAAAAGTTATCTATTTTTCACCATATTAAACCATCTAATTAATAATACAGTATCCCCTCTAATAAATCAAAACCATTATATGTATTGTCTGGGTTAACCAATAAATCAGTAATATACATACATTTTTTGTTTAGGTCTAATTTTTAAAAGCTCAAATACTCCCTTCTCTTTTTCTGGTAATATCTATTATCTCATAATGGAAAAACAGAATTCTTATTTTCAACTGATTTCCAAATATTTTATATTAGGTGACCAAAATTTTCCCTTATTATTCAATTGTAATGTTATTTTATTTTCTAAAAATTATCTATTTTCCACCATATTCAACCCTCTAATTAGTAATATGAAATCCCCTCTAATAAATCAAAACCCTTATTTTCTTCAGCCTTACTCTGGCTTTCTTCCTTTGCCAACTAAACTTCCATGTTAGTGCTTTTGAATCATCAAATAGTTCTCCCTCTATTATTATATATATTATTTGGAATAAGAAAGACCATTTGGTTGCAGTTTTTTTGGAAGAACTAGCCCATTTGTATTTATTAGATCACCTCCCTATTACTCCAATTTCCCACAATTGTCCTGATAGGTTTATCTTCCCTTCAATCTATTCTTCTTTCATTTCCTCAAATTTCTTCTGATTTTTGTAAAAGGTCTTTTCCATTTTCAGTATTGTCACTCCCTGTTCTGATTTTTCCGTTGGCTGGATCTTTTGGTCAAGTGAGTCCTCTAGCTTAGTGTTTAGTTGTTCCACTTCTCCTGTTATTTTCTGCATTGTTAGTTCTTTGGTTTATTTATTTTTTATTTTTATTTATTATTCGAATTTATATCCCGCCCTTCTCCTTGCGGACTCAGGGCGGCTGACAATCAATTAAAAACACCGATAACAATCACAAAATTAAAATTAATTAAAATGAAATATTTAAATTGTCTGATTAAAATATGATTAAAAACCCCTCTAAAACCCCTCTTAAAAATTACCCTAGGCCAGTCCCGCTTGTTG